AATATGTTAAAGGGAATTATATTATTGTTTCCCGCACCTCATTAAACTCAATACTACTGATCAGTGAATACATGTATTTGTGTCGTTTCAGGTGACGTTCAAAGCTAGAAAGCATAGATCTTAAGGAAGTAGGCTCGTAGTCATCACCGCTTGGTTTACGGACACTGATAAAAAAATTGCATAAAATTGTTTCCAGTTCATTTGGAGGGATTTCGTGGATTTCTCTAGCCTCGTTTATTTCTGGTATCTTCAAAAATTGGCCCAGTAATCTCATATCATATAGAGTTTTCTTGGCTGTGTTTTTGTTTTGTTGAGTTTCGATTGTTCTTCTGACATCGTCATCGGTGACTGGCACAAGTCTACATGGTCGTGAAGGCCCGGCCTCGGCGCCGTCGCTGTCAGTGTTTTGTGCTGTCGCTTCACCCAAGGAAGCATTTTCTGTGACGAAAATAATTGTTACATTTGGTATTATAAATGTAAAAATAAATTTATGTTGTGGAATCATTTTATTTAGTACTCGCAGTATTGTGATGTATTTTTACCCAATGCAGTATGCGATCATACAATATGCCGAGTTCTGACGATGAAAACACGTAAACGTACCTTCACTCGGTCTTTCTTGATCATCATTCATGAATTCTATCACGTCTATATCAAAAGTATTGACTAAGTCGCCCATATGTATCATGATTTCGAACGTTCGATCAGCTGAAGGTTTGTTTACTTTGAGATGCAAATTTGTACGACTGACAGCAATCTCCTTCCCAGAGGCCTTTGCGCTTTACGCAATAGTGCCTCTGCCACAGACAGCCTTCAATTTTGTGATCAATCACCTCACTACGCACGGCCATTTTCCTGTAGTTGTTACATCTGAAAACGTATTACAAAAAGTGGAAAAAAAAACGTATGTGACATCCGAACTATTTAATAATGTCAGACCTCAGTAAAAACGTAAATACGAACCATTTTATCGCGGACTATGTTTTGCAAGGTAATGTTATTGTAGTGAAATGGCGCACGTGATACACTAAAACTGGGGAGAAAAAACGTTCTGTTAACGAATATAGTTGGGAAAGAAACATTAAAGACTAATTTCACTGAAAGGAGTTTCCTAACATTTCCGTTTATCTTGTATTCTGGTGAATATCTCAATACTATTTCTGGCTTGAACGGGTTCGATTTTGCGCGTCTAACAGCCATGGAACACACAGGTTCTAGTAAGTTTATAAAGTTAGTCTTTTATAGAAGAAACTAATGCTTTGGCATGTAGGAAAGGATTGTACTTTTCTAAAGCAAGTCATGTATATTTTAATCTAATTAACTGACATTTTATTTGGTGTCGGGCGTGAAACGTCTTATTAAAGTGATTAAAGTAACCAAGTGACTTACGCATAACTTTATTAATCGACAGGATTTTGTAGTTCGAACGTATTCGAATATGCAAATGAGTTCTATGCTAAACTGCTTTGTGCAGTGATG